TTCTCCCCTAAATTTTTTTAATAAATAATTTTTTTTAAAAGGAGGCAAAGAAAATAAAAAAAAAAAAAAAAAAAAAAAAAAAAGAGGTCACTGAATGGGTTTAATAATAAAAAGACTGCCGTTTATTAAAATCTTTCTCAGGGTCAATAATTTGCTTTAGGACCCTCTTCAGCAAGGCCTAGCAATTTTATTAGGAATGAAAAACAAACAAAATGTGGAACAGTTGATCACTAAGGGAGACCCTGCACTGTTCCTTTAGGGTCTATCTGTCTACTGACAATATATGATTATTTAGCCTTCTAAACTTACATGTTCTGAATCACAGCTTAGGTATATGCCTAAGGGAAATCAGAGATGGTGGGATGGATACCTTCAAAGCAAGCATTGTCGTATCAATGCTTCTGAATGAAGCATGTGTCCACTCAGAAGAGGAGAAAACACTAGCAAACATGACTGCAGCACTGTAGATGCACAAGAGGATATTTTCAGTGACAGCCTTTATTCTGGCATTCTCTAGTTTCTGACTACCTGAGTCAAGAACTTAATAATGCTTTTATCAAGCACAGGGGACACCCACATCTTTTAGTTACCTAAAAATTCCAGTAACTCAGGACTCGTTGCTAGATCCTCATCTTTTGAGATGAATTTCATGATATCATTGAACATAGCTCTTCGTTCACAGATGTCAGATTCCCCCACGAAGAGAACTTTTCTAGGCAAGAGTGGAAGAGAAGCCTGTGGATATCGTGCCGCCAGTCTCTGGTAGAGCTCCTCTATCTCGCTGTACTTCTTGGAAACCTGCAATGAAACATGCTGCCTGGGTAAGTTTCTTTACAGGTGAGACATGAGCAGCAAGCAGCAGTTTATGCGCTGTAAAACATTAACCCTGGAAACTGAAGTGGAAAAACATGTATTACCAAGGAGCTTTACATATAGCCTAGTAAAAGCCTGTTATCTACACAGTGAATCCCCAAGCATTGTTCCTGGCTTCTAATTCTGTTATTAAAATCCGCTCCCTAATGGAATTGAAGTTCATTGCCAGATACCCCGCGTCCATTTGTCTGACTCATCAGCTAATGAAATACTGGGAAGGTTGCTGCTCCAGATACTTTTCTCTGACAGCAAAAATCCTTATCCACTAAATATGAGCTATACAATGCCCAGCCCTGAGAGACAGGAGGGAAGAGAAGCCGAGCCAGGTAGGTATCTGATGGAGAAAGCAGCCTGAATCTTTTCACCATTAAGCCAGAAGACCCATTTCTCAGCCCTGGTGGGCTTCAGTGCCCATCTTGCTGTTAAGGCCTGAAAAACCGGCACGTTTGCTGCCCTGCAGAGTACCTAATATAGAAACCAAAGGGCAAAGACCTCAGCTGACCCCTGACTATTCAGTTTATCCATGAGAAAATAAAAGCCTACAACTTGGCCATGGCCTACAGGTTGTTATACAGAGAGAAGATGCCAACAGTGAATGGAGTCATTCCTTCTGCAGACAAAGACAGGAAGCCTGAGGAGAAATGAGGCCCAAGATATTACAAGGAAAGCAATAACCATGGAAACACTCGTTAGAAATGGGGTGGCTTCTATGCCACATTAAGTTTCGAATTCAGTACCTTAAAAAATCAATGCACAAAACCCACACACAAACAAAACACTATCTCATAACTGACACTACAGGCATAATGGAGAGTGACTGTCATGCTCTATAGCTGTGGTATTATACAGACAATATATTCATCATGGCTCTCCACACCCCCCTAATCTATTAATGTGTTTCAACGAATACAGAGTTAGATTAAAAACAACCCCAAAAACTAGTGCTAGTGGAGTGCATATGGGACAGATCCTAGGGACCCAGATACTAGGGTCCAGTTCTTATCCTCCTGTAACACATGTTGGTGAACTCTAGTGAAGTGGATTCTAATTAAGACTGCAACATAAAAGATGGAGAGACTCAAGCACCACATCTTGGGATGGAAGAAGGCAGAGTTCTTCCACCAACACAGTGATAAAAGAAAGTCAACCCAACACAAAGCACAGAAATAGAAGGGAAACAAGGTATAGATTAACCCAGAATCCATAAACTGCATCTATACTAGCAAACGAAACAGTATCAGGGCATATTCCCAGGCACTGGAGCCTGAGAGTGTCTATTAGGAACCTTATAGTGTCTACTGGAACCTGACAAAGCCTGGCACAATTTTGACTCTGGGCAGCTAGCACTCCCCCAGATAATTTTTCAGCCCAAGATTTAGCTTGGTGCAGAGACCACTCAGTGGTCAGTTTGGGTACTGATGCCCATTGTAGATGGTAAGAAAGTTTTGTACTGTGGATGCAGCCAGACTGTGCTAGCTGCCCCCCAGGCCACAGAACAGGTCCTGACATTAACAGACACACCTCGACTAGTTCACTAAATTTGACGTAGGTATAAAGAGCAATAATCACCTTAGCTTTCATGCTTCCCTGCCTTTTGCAGTAATTATCAACAAAGCTAGCTGATTTGAAAAATATTTGCATTTCAGTTGTACAATGTTCACTATGGGTTCAGGGTCCAGTCACAAAAGGCAAGCAGCTCTATAGGAAAGATCTGAAGCACAAAACCAAACCTGAGTCAACAGGGGAATGAAAAACAAGAATTTTAGACTTGTCTCCTGTAAGCAACACAGGTAAGTGTGGGCAACAATGTGCCCTGCATGCAGGGTCTGACATGCAATTCAGCAGCCAAGCACTAAAGTGATGGCAATAAAGAGATGTGCCCAGACTGAGACAATCCTCCCTCTGAAAGATACCCCAAAAAGAGAGGAAAGCAATTCTGGAATTTCTAAATTGCTGTACATTTCTAGTTTGCTAGGTCCCAGTAGCACTCTGAACAGGGTATGATACCAGAGCCCTTCCCAAAAATACTGTGTAAGCACAAATGTAAGGGCAGTGTGGAATTCACCAGTACTTTTTCAAAAGAATAAACAATATCACCCTCCACCCAGAAAAAAAAATCAAGTCTGATTTGTGAAAAATGTTTAACATCTAATTAATTTCAATAATAAATAACAAATTAATGTCTGAAAGCATCACAAGACAGCAACCAATCAACAAGACTATGCCAAAACAGCTTTAAAATACTCAAAGTAACACTGAACCGAAACATACAAACTTGTTTCCCCACTTAATTTTCATTCCTCCTCTATCAAACTCTGTAAATTATTCATAAATCTCAATTTATGTCTAATTACACCATTGAACCTAAAGTAAATGCACACCCTCGCATCCTATCGCTAATTAAGCTTTTGTGAATCTGCGTGAGCTTTGAACACCACCACCAAGCATAACAAGCGACACAGCATACAAAGTGTGATAACACTATACTCAAAGCATACTAATATGCTACCCAAAAGCCTGCAGCACACCATGCAAGCTAATATCCAACAGTGTGGGGATGCCCTCTGCTGGGATAACCTACCACACAGCCAAGATGTTAAACCTCCAGCCTAAACCATTCCCCACTTACCTAAGCCAAATGCTGGCCCCTGCAAGTCCCTGCCAGCTGAGGGTCTTTGCCTGCCGTCCCTCTGCCACAAACCCTGGCTGCCGCTGGCCTCTCCATGTCTTCACTCAACACTACTGCCATCTTTACCTTGGTTTTGGTGCTGGAAATGCAGCAGTAAGACTGGCTGAATCCAACAACCTCAGACTGATGCATTTAGAATCACAGAATGATTTGCGTTAGAAGGGACCTTTAAAGATCACCTAGTCCAAACCCCCTGCCAGGGGCAGGGACATCTTTCACTAGATCAGGTTGCTCAAAGCTTCATCCAGCCTGACCTTGAACACTTCCAGTGGTGGGGCATCCACAACTTCTCTGGGCAACCTGTTTCAGTGTCTCACCATCCTTATAAAAAATTTCTTCCTTATATTCAATCTAAACCTACCCTTTTTCAGTTTAAAACCCTTGCCCCTTGTCTTGTCACTACAGGCCCTGGTAAAAAGTCTGTCCCCATCTGTCTTATAAGCCCCCTTTAAGTATTGAAAGGCCACAATAAGGTCTCCCTGAAGCCTTCTCTTCTCCAGGCTGAACGACCTTTCCTCACAGGAGGCGTTCCAGCCTTCTGACCATTTTCATGGCCCTCCTCTAAACCCGTTCCAACAGGTGCATGTCTTTCTTGTACTGGGGACCCCAGGGCTGGATGCAGCGGCACAGAGGCAACACAGGGGCCTTACACAGCACCGGCCAGGTCTCGCAGAGTGCATTTTCTCAGGTCAAGTCCCATACATCACCCAGAGCGTTCTCACACCTTTCCAGTCTGGAAGCACTGCTTTGCTGTGACCCTTTGGACCCTTTCAATTTGACATCCTCTGACAATTTTCCAGGAGAAAGGCATATCAGCATGTAACAAAATTAAATCTTGCTTTTCCTGGTTACCACTCACAACCCTTTGAAAAGAGTCAGTGGATCCTATGGCCCAAAATGTCAGGTTAAAAAAAAAACAAATGCTGCTCCAAAATACATTTTATCATTCCTATTAAGCATACAAACTCCCACTTGATTAATATTAAAATATTTTTCTTCTGCTGCCTGTAATTCCTTTAGGTGTTGATCCTGCAATGATCCTCTCCCCCTCCATGCCTCTAACTGAACTCCGTGAATACTGTTGAGCTAACCCCCCACCACCTGTAAGTCAGCCTGAGTGCACGCACTTCAAGGAGTTCTGTCAAGTCACAATATCAAAGGCTCGATCTACTTCACTTCAAAAGAGTTAATCATGCAAATACGGCAAACCATGTGCATATTTGCCAGGTCAAGACCCTATTTGCCTGGAACAATTAACATCCAACATAGAACTGAAAGAGAGACAGGGATGGGTTGAATATTTTTTGCACCAGGAACAAATAAGTAAGTTGAACATGATCAAATATAGCTAGAAGGTTACGAAAACCACCAGGAAGTTCAAAGTGACAGCCTGAAGTTTGCTGCTAATCCCTCAAATCTCATGCATGTGCCTTGCCCTCTTCTTCAGGAGAACCTCATGCATGAAAGTACACACACCAGAATGCCTGTAGGATACAAGCCTGGGACTCTCAGATGTGCATGGGAGAATTTGATCCCACTCAGTATTAATGTGATTTAATGCCTCCTTTCCCTAGGCTCCTTTTAATGACCCATTTCTGACCTCAAACTTGTCTTCATATGCTTTATATTTACTGCAAGGATTTCAACGAAAGGGAGGCCTCAGATAGAGCTAACTCAAGCCCTTTGGCCAGCCAATACACACTAGTGAAGAGCACTCTTGACTTTATAGTATTACATGAAATACTTACGGCTACTGTGACTTTCTTGTTACAAAGCCCACTTCTTAACACTGTCACAAAATGGAGGTACAGCAACATTGTCCTTTATACAACCACCAGCTTTGGATTCAGGAATCAAAAGCATCCCTTCTCATAGAGAGCACAAACCAAGCCTTTACTTGTAGACTCCCAATTCAAGCCATACCAGAATTAATGTTGCTTGGTGACCTCGTGGGTATGCATTATGGTAGATTTTAATTACATGACCACATGCTGTTCTCCCCACCTGTTTTGCCTAGCAGAAGAGCAAGCACTCTAATATTTCTTTTTAATCAACATGAATTCTTAACGGCTCCTGAACCTATTGCTACACTGAGCAAGGATTATTTTTCCCCCCCCTCACATCACAGACATTATAATGTGAAGGAATTTATCTTCACAACACACCTGTATGGTCAGGAAATAGCAACTCCAACGCACAGATTTTGAGGCCCACAGAAAGAAGGCCAACATATGCAAACAGGCAATGAAGAAAACATAGATGAATACACACCCACGTACTTACACTCCCTCATTTTATGAGAGGAAGACAGTTCTACAGTAAATTCCTCCCAAAAATGTGCTGTGCCTGTCAAACACCAGTAGTTATTTGTTCAGCTTTGAAAAAGAACAAACTTGACTAACAAAAGTAACTTGTAAAAAAGAAGCAATTAAACTGGGCACAGATAGAAAGAGAAGGCACTATAGGCTGGGTGGATTTTTAATAAGGCTGGGAAGAGAGAAGTTAATTGCTAAAAATGGTAAGGTGTGGCTAGAAGAAATGCGTTTAAGATAAATAAAGCCTTTTCTTCTTCTCACAGAAAATGGCAGGCAATAATTAAATATCACCTTTGCAGCAGTACCTCTGATGCAGTACCAAAGATAAAACCAATTTCACTCTTTCAATAGGACAAGAGTATTCTGACCTTTGAAAGAAATGCAGCTGAGTTTTCCTTCAGTTACCAAATATAACCTCAAGGTTAAGCAGTTCTACAACCCATTTCTCCTACTTTACTACAACCCATTTGTCCTACTTTACAAATGGCATTTTTTAAATTAAAAAATCCCTCCAGTTTCTAAGAATTTAGATCTGAAAGTCATCACAGAAGTGAATTTCTTCTTCTGTTAATGTTTCACAAACATTTCAATTAGAAACACTATGATACGGATTTTGCATAGTCCCATTAAGGCTGGGGAACAGGGAACTCTGGATTGCTCAGACCCACAGTAAAGGCTAGTAACTCCACACGTCAGATCCTGTTCATCTGGTTTTGGTCATAGGCCCTTAACATCTCTTGATCCGGTGTGGTCTAAATCACAGCCCAGAGATCACAGCTAGCTTAGAGGATGCTTCTGTCCTGCTCACCATCTTTTTCCAGGGGATACAGAGAAGCTATTTGAGCAATAAATGCTGCTCAATCACATGGCTGCCTGCAGTTGCTCACAGCCTAATGCACAGAAAGCCAGTTTCGCTGCTGCCACCTAGGGCAAGAGACTGTGGAAAGCAGTCACTTCAACTGGAAGCAGGTGTAAGAACAGCTAGACAAGGAAAATCAATTTAGCTAATATTTCAGGGAGAGAAAGAGGGGAAGGAGGAGGAAGCAGAAGAAAGACAAAGGGTCTCAAAACACAGACCTGGCTCCTGAGGTAGCCAAAATTGGATTAACATATCCAGAGCCAATGAAAATCCTACCACGCCTACCCGTCTTCTCTAACCTATACCTATCATGCCAGCACTGTGACACTGGCTCCTTCCTCCAGCCTCTCAAATTTGATAATTTCAACAGTAGCAAAAATAAGTTCCCTCTCCCATCCTGCTCGCACACTTGGGAAGGCAGAACAACACACAGTTGTTTCTTTTTCCTCCTTCAGATGTCTCATCTCACTCACCCTTGCTATATAAATTTGATGTGTTTGACCTGCTGCCCAGCGTAACCTCATTCTTCTCTGCTGTTCCCCAATCGCCTGGCTCTCTTATACTTCACCTGCAAACTCTCTGGGGAAGGGTCGCTGTTCTTGTTTGTGCTGGTACAACATCCAGCAGAACAGGGCACTATGCAGACACTACGGGTGCAACTGACCTCACCTGGCAGCCACAGGGTTGGGGTTTGCCTCCAGGTTAAGACAACTGCCTACATGCAGGAGGTGTCTCAGCTCTCATCACAGTTAGATATAGTCACTACATTTTGGCAAGATGTGACTGAAACTCAACTCACCTCAACACAGGCAGCTAGTGGTACCTTGGATGGTGTACTGTAGCTCACCTCACTCTGTTCCAGGGCGGTGCCAATGCCTTTATGTCCTGTGTCACATCTGCCAGCCCTGTGCAGACACCTAGGATAACTTAGTGTTTCTCAAATGGTACCAGCCCTGTATGTTATGCAAAGTGGATTCCCTCACACCATAGATGCTCAGCTACATTATTCTCAAACAGTACTGCACTGACTGGGATGGGAGCTTAGAAATCCGTAGCAAATGTAGGTATCTAATCACAGAGCGCAGATTGTTCTGCGTAAAGACAGGCATCTCATGCCACCTGAGATGCTTTGGGATATCTAAGGGGCTTGCATGGGGCAGGCAAATATCACACAGGACTTATGGGAGACCCGCAACCTTCTGAAGGCTAGGTGAAAAATCTCAGGGCACCGCCGGTGGTATAAACAGTGAGTTGTGTGCAACTCAATTGAGCCTTAAGCATTTTAGCCTGGAGTTGAAGCCCCCCGCCCCAGCTGTCTAAAATGTAGAATGCTTTCCCTTTACGGTCAAAGAAGAGAGGCGTTTCCAGAGGATGAGTCACCTCATTCCCCTTCTCCCCATTGACCATAAAAGCAGGGACAGACTCAGATTAAAATATCCAACTTACAGTGAGATAAGTTAGGACAGGTGAATCCCTCTGTTCCTTTCAGTAATACATACAGAAAAGACTCATCGGCATGAATTGATGCAAAGCACCCAACCTCCAACCTCCTAGCTCAGGGTTTTAAATTACTCTCATGTACCAAACTATGTATCAGACTTAGTCAGCTGAAAAAAATGTATCAGATGAGATAAATGTTATTCCCGTCAGACTACACCAGTCGTCTTCTTCCTGAAGAATGAAATGTCAGGAGGTCTGACCAGAGAAAGAATCAGAGAGGTACATTTCACTTGAGAAGAGCAACTAAGTGCTGAAAATCATCCTAGAGAGAGCCCACATGGGAACGGACAATCTGAGCAAGCAGGGGGGCCACAGTAGGAAGTCTGTTTCTCCTCTTTATAGACAAGCTGATTTTATCTACTTTTTATTAAGTGAAGCAAAATGTTAGATGACAATAGTCCAGTTTAACACCTTGGGTTTAGTCAGGTTCTTTCTTGCATAGAGCTGCATGGAAATATTACATAATATAAGCAGGCATTGCTGCAGAAAAAAAGCGATTCCACATCCCCTTATCTGCCCATGTCTGGCCCTTTCCCTGTCCTAAAACAAACTTTAATGGGGCTATGCAACTCGCAGGCTCAAGAAACAGGTGTAAATTAGTACTAAATCACAAACCCCCAAATAGCCATTTTTAGCCAGGAACAGTACCTCAGCTGATGTTATAGAATAGCCACACGACACTGGCATACAGAAGGAAGCATTGCAGGAGCAAGAACAAGCGGTCAGGGACAAGGAGGGACAACAGAACAGACTCTTATGCCAGCATTGCTGCTTTTACCATAAAGTTATATATGGCATAAGGAGTGCAATAAATGTATGAGATCTCCTCACCGTGCACCTCTTCACAACACTGACAGATGCGGCTTTATCTGCAAATCAGACTGCGTAAAATATCCATTTATCAGCTATCTTCTACGGAGTGTGAGTTACACTAGGGCTAATGGCCTACCAGGTAACCACGCACTCACATCACTCTGACATTAGTCATCCCCAAAATATCTGAAAAGAGCAGATGTTCACAGCATGCAACAGGGTGCATCTCCTTAGAGTCCCTTTATAGTCAACAGACAGAGAAACGCACTTCTTGGGAGTTCTGTTCAGCAGACAGCTAAAGCAGATCAAATGAAATGTACCCTAAATGAACCTTTTTCCATCGACTCAATAGACAGTCTCAGGTGAGACAGCTCAAGTGGACGTGCACATGCTATAGATAACCTAAAACAGGTGAAATAAATCTTGCATGCTATGTTTTCAAATCTTTACTGCACAGGTATCATGAAAAAGAACAATCCAACTCAATAATGTTTTATACCTACACTTCCTTGTAAAACTCTCTTACTAAGGATTTTAAAAACCATGTCAAGGCCAATAGATCAAGGCTAATAGGTCAAGGCTAACCTACTGCAAGGTTAATTCCTCTTATTGCCCCACATGATTCTCTCTCCATTCAAGTAAATTATTATATATTTATTTCATGTTCATGTACGAAGTCCCAGTGCTGATACATGTATCAGAGAAACTAATTTTGTAGCAGGACTTATAAAAAGCTTAATTGGTTTCTATTTGTTGACCCATAATGCAAAATACCTTAAAGGCAACAACAAACAGTCATTGTTGCTTTGAGCTCCTGGAATAAGAACAATTAATATATGTATTATACTCCTATTGCAGAAATGGTACAGACTGCGTTGTCCTACCAAGGACCTTAACCCAGGGGGGCTGTGATGACAAAGTATCTGCTACATCAGGACCAAAATAATCAAAGCTGATTAAGAAAGTGATCACTAACAGCACTGATTAAACATTTACCATAAATTGAACTACATCTTCAGGCTTGTGCTTTGCTGATTTGAAGGCAGCCAGTCGGGTAACAACGACAATGTGATACTCTACATGGCCAGACATCATCCTCCCACGGATTTCCTGGTATTCCGGCACTGACAAATCCAGCCCCGTGTGCGTATTCTGAATTTGCCTAGGGAAGAAAATACATGCAGAGTTCAGACATTGGCACAAAGACTTTTAACTGACCCTCTCCAAGGATCCAGTTCAAAGCTCAAGAAAGTCAGTGCAAAGGCTCTCATTTCAACAGGACAACAGACAGACCCTACCCCAACACTGTTCCTACTCCGCAACAATACAAATTTGGACATGGCCTGCTTCCTATATTCTATCCCAACGCACCTGCCACTGGCCACCGCAGACAAAATGCCAGGAACATAGCATTTCTGGGAACAGAAGATGGGTGGGGATTCATTCAGGAATGAATGAAGAACAGGACTTCACTCACAGGAGTTCAAAGTGCTGTCCTACCCAGCAGGGCAGATGAGAGGATCCCATTATCTCTCATTACCGTTTGTTTTGAAGCAAAGGTCTGTTCACTACAATTCAAACCAAGCCCTATCCACCTCTCCTTTGTCTTAGGACATCCCCAGGAATGACAGAGACAATAGCTGAAAGAGACCACGAAAGGAAGAAGGAATTTGCTTGAGTGCAGGGACAACATGAGGTTTGTAAGAGCCAACCAGGGAACTAGATTAAAGCCTGAAATACAAAGAGAAGTTCAGGAGGAGACTGCTGGGCCAACCACACAGTTTCCATCTGTGGAGGTCCTTGAGGAAAATTAGAAAAACACCTATCAGGACTGAGCAAGTTAAAGGAGTACATGATCTCTTCGAGTTGCCTTCTGGTCTTGACTGTCTGACTGACAGTCTTGTTGCCAAATAGCAGAAAGGGTACACCAGCTAAAGTATCTCAGCTTTCCCACGAAAATCCCACTGGAAACAAAACCACCTGTCCTTTCACAACCAGTTAAAGCAGACAAAGAATCACTGCATTAACCTCTGAGAGCCGCCAACAGTCCGAACCACCCATGGCTCCTCTCAGAGGAAAATGCAACAAGGGCGCTGCTACTGCAGTTTACTCAAATCTTTTTCTTCTCCTGCCAGCTTCAGATCCACTGAACCGTAGTGTCGCCTCCCCCCTGGATTCCCACCCAAGGAATTATTTACGACATTTTTGCAAGAGGAATGCCAGGATCATATTATAGCGCTCACGCATCAAGAGTAAGACCAAGCAGCTGCTGTTGGGGCAAAAGAGAACGGTATGTTTAATGAAATAAACAGTCTGTTTCAATAGACTGGAAACCAAAACCGATCAGAGATCCTTTCCCCAAAGTTACCCTCATGCCAAGCCACAGCAGAGTCACTACTGCTGTCGCTGGAGCCAAACACTCTGCCAGAAACAGAAAGAGGTTTAGCATCCAGAGCATTGAATACTCTCTGAACACATTTCCGAGTGCATCCTTCCTATGTGTGAATGTTTTTTAATGAAATCAAAAGCGACTGTTTAAAAAAAAAACAATTTTCTTTCCATTAAACATTTTTTCTGCCTTTTTTTTTTTAACCTTAGCCATATGAGGAATGTCAAGTTCCATCTTCCCTGGACTTCTTGTGGATTGCAGAGGTGCCTTGTGGAATTCTTGCCTCCTTCTTTACGAAGTTTAGATTCATTAACACAGGTGTCCTTTCACCTAAGGATACATGAGGTGTACGAACTTAAAATACACTTTAAAGAGGTTTAAACAATCTAGTTTCAAACAAAGTTTCAAAAGACTCCTCTCATCATGTCAAAACTTGACCAGTTCTTCTGAAACTTGAGTTTTCCCAAGAAGGCAACCTCTGAATCTCCAATGAAAAACTGAATAAAAAGCTTTTTAAAGAGAGTATCTCAAGAGTTCACCATAAATCAGATAGCAACAAACAAGGGCACACGCCCAATTTTGTACCCAATCCTCTTTGCAAGCCATTTTTAAAACATCAGGGCTTTAACAACAGCTCTACCGTTGCCAAGATTTTATACCAGGTACTTAAACGCCATGCTGTTTGCTCCAATACTGTTCTCATTTTCTGCCAGCCAAGGACTTGACTTTACACTAACAGACAAAATTTTGTTCTCAGTTACACGTTGTCAGGCTGTAAACACAGAATCAATAGTGCTTATGTATAAATACATAGGTGCCTGGCTTTTACACAGCGGTCTGTTGAACCTGTAAGTAACAGTCATTATCTGGAGTGTTGTCTCCCTCAGTGGCAGTCAAAATGCTGACTCAAGGGACACCTGCCAGTAAAATCAGCTGGATCTAGGGTTTTTAGAATACACCTGCAGCAGAGGAAATGCTCTCCAGATGTGTAGTCGCTCAAAAGTTGTGACTGCAGCTATGACAGCAAAAAGGTCTGTCGAATGGTACTCAGGAGTGACTTACTTCTGTTAACACAGCCACAGAGAATAAATGACAAATTAACCTGCTAAATTAACCTGCTTTTCACCTCTGATGTAAATAAAAGGAAAAAACACCAGTAAACCATCCTTATTTAGCTTAAAACACCAACCATGTACAAATGTTCTTAGATGACACAACAACAACTTCACTGTAAGAGCTGCTGCATCAAAGAGTTCTAAGAATGTCATGAAGTTAATAAGTACCTTATCTACACCCAGGGTTTTTCTTCTGAAGTTTTTAAAAGTCTCAGCTAAAATGACTGTAATAGAAAGCAATTAGAGGTAGGGGGAATAGCTACATTTTTGTTTGTTTGCTTTAGGCCTTGTGATCACTTTCATTATCATCTCTTACAGGAAACCTACCACTATTATCTCTTCCATAGCAACAGGATTGTGTGTTTTTTTAAATATAAAAATGATGCTAAATGAACAGAAATCAGCAAGGAGGCTCAGACAGATACAGCGTAATATCCAAAGCACATACTAGTTCTTGTAATGCCTTAGTTTCAAAATAAGCAGCCCCAGTGTTTTAATTCATTCGATACTCTTCTTGTTACCCAAATGGAAGCAGCACCTACAAATGCCAAGACAGAATATAGTTTCATTGTATTTTTCACATCAAACACAATTATTTTTACACTAGTAGCTTTAAAAAAGAAGCAAAGGGAGAAAGCTGGTTGTTTAAATTGGACACACAGGTTTAGTGCTTCTACTCCTTATTTAAATCTAGCTTGTATATCTTTAAGTTACGCTTTTATCTACAATACAGACAGTTCAGGGGAGACTTGGGCACATGGTTAACTTTCCTGACATGAATCACTTCACCTCAACACAACGAGACCATTCATACCAGTAACACTGTGCTTGCACAATCCGATCATGCAGGATTGGCATGGGATGGAGGAAGGGGAGACTATATAAAGGTCAGCTGAACAGAGCAGTTCCCACAGTTCGCAGAAGAGCCACAATTTTTCATTCCTGTCTTTTGATGTGCATATAATGTAGAGGCTTTGTATTTTAATTAATCTGATTTCTGTGCTGAAAGGCTAAGATGGGAGAGAAGGGAAAGTAGCCACTGCAGGCAAGAAAGCAAAGTAAGGGATGCAAGAGCTGTGACCAGAGAAACTTTATCCCAGTGTCTGTGTGGGCAGGAGAGCGGACTCTGCACTTTCCGCCTTGATAAAGTCAGCCCCATCAGCAGCACCCAGCTCCAGCAACCTCTGCCCGAAGGGGACCAAACTGTGACGACCCAGGTCACAGTAAAAGGACAAAAAACTTGTAGAATTAGTTTATTCATTAAGTGAAGGCAAAGTATCAAACACAAATTAGTCAGCAAACGTTTTTATTTCTCTATATAGTCTAACTACAAGTATACAGATTATTAGTTATTTATATTACCACAGCAACTAGGAATTCTATTCCCAAACCAAAACCAGTATGTATAAAGAGTGAAAAAGGTCACAACCATACAGCTATCTTATCTCACCAGCTAGAAAATATATTCAGTTGCTAAAGCCTTAATCCCACACATACATACATATCCAATATTATCACTGAAAGCATTCCAATATCAGTGGGACAATTAGCAAGTGGCGAAGTCTACTGACTGTAAAATAAATCCAGGTGTTCAGATTTCCATTTCCAAGGCTAAAACCTAATATAAAGTCAGTCCTACAAAACATGTATGTGATTTAAGTCAGATACATTTGAGGGTTCAAGGCCACTGCTCCAAAGGAAGTCAGGCCCTGATATAGCCAAATATTTAAGGATTAAAATAATGGCTTTGAAGTTAATGTGATTGAAATAGTTTCTACTTATGTCCTAGGAGGTAGGTGCGAGAGTCAGGACTTTGCTGAATCAACACTTCTGTTTCTCGTGTCACATCTGAGAGGCAACTGCTTCCATGTGGTCTCAAATATCTCGCAGGGGTAAAAAAAAGACAGAAATATCTCTATCATTTCTCTATAAAGATTGCCACAAGCGTTTTCTTCTTGAGGCACTTCTCTTGAGAGTTTATTTGCCACATCTAGGAAAATACAGGTTTTAAAATTCAATGCAACTGAAAACAGCGCCACTGCACCCACCTGGTTTCAAGAAGGTGGGAAAACAGAATAAAGTTATTTTGCCCACCCCTGGCCTAACTTCAAGCCAGACAGGCTCCCTGCGGCCTGGTGGACAGGAGGGACAGGGCGCAGGGCACGGTGGCGGGGAATGGGGGTCAGCCGAAGGCACTTACGACACCACACCTCAAAGACACCGGTGTACACTTCAGGACGAATTTTAATTCCTTCTGACCCACCTCGAAATACTGACAAGGAAAAGATGTTTCCGGAGGGTGGGAGCACACGTTGGGTGCCCAGCAGTGTCAAAGTGGAAGGGAAACGACCCTAAGTTACCACAGAGTAAAGGACCAAACGGCCGGTTTTACAGAGGCCAGGCCAGATGACAACGGTGGTCTCTGCCGGCTGTGAAATGCCCAAAACCTCGAGGAATCGCATATATCCGAAGTGTCTTGGGGGCAAACCCACGCACCAGCAACCCGCCGCCCACCTCGGCCTCGCCTCAGCGCCTCCTCAGCGCCCGCCGCTCCGCCACCTCCCTCAGCGCCCTCCCCGGGATCTCCGTGAGGCGCCGCTCGCCGCGCTCCGTCCGTTCCCTTCCCTTCCCTTCCCCGGGCGGC